CCCCCCCAAATCTGCCTGTCTCTCAGTGATAGTGGGGCGCTCACCGATCGCACGGCGACCATTCTGGACCACCGACTTTTTCTAACCCTGACCTTGACTGCGTGCTGTGTTAAAATGTTTACCGCTCCTTCAGAAGTACGAAATATCCCGTGCTCCATTTTTTGGCACATCACGTGACACGCAGAACATGCAAATCTGTCTGACGCCGCCTTCCGTCTCCCTTATCAGTTGCGTCGAATATTGAGGCTCGATGTAGGCGCGACCACGGGAGGCAGCAACTGCAACCCTTAAACATCACAGCAAGAGGTTTGTGGTTGAAGTACTTAGGAAAGCTCGTAGACTATTTAGCAATGGGCAGCTCGTTTACTTATACGTAAAAAAATTGGCCTGAAAGCTTGTTTCATCAAGAAGTGGATTTGGCAACAAAAAGAGGAGGAGGATTAAATAGGTTGCCCTAAAATCACCCTTAATTCATCCACCAACCTTCACAGCTTCAAAACTACGGAGGTGGGGTAAGAAAGGGACAGACAGTATTGCCGGCAAAGACGAGGGACACTAGAACGGCCATTTCTAGCTTATTAGCTATCGTCAGCCAGATCCCTTGCCTTTGCCTGCAATACTATCTGCCTACTATCAGCTGTTACGGCTATCAGAGCAGGACAGATGAGTTCCGTTAACGGTCAGGTGAACTTTCATCAACAAGTAAGAAAGGGACAGTCAAACAAGTCAACGCAAAAGGAAGCAGTGTTGGCGAAGGACCAATTTGGTACTTTCATTCCCAAGTAGCTCATCTACAGTCTGACCGGGATGCACCTTCCGATCGTATGGAGGTGTTTGACTACAGCGATTTAAGCACTAAGAAGACCCTTCACGATGAAGCCCAAAATGAGTCACTACTGAGGAAGAAGCGGGAATCGGCTCCTAATGAGAATTTTCGAGTGACCAAGTTTAGGCTCGTCCAGGTGGCTTCAACATGCGTTTGGAAAATCCTCATTCAGAAACTGGGATGCGACAGATGAGTGGATGCCAGATGGATAATTCAACTATTCTCCAAATGCGCTCAGGCTGCCAAAATATTTACGGGTAGTCTTACGAACAGAACTCCTCCAGTCCTTAGAAAACCGTGTGACCATTTTTTTCAAAAATGACCCCGTAAGAAAATTGCAGCAAAAAATAGCACCGCCTGCAGCGGGACAAACGCCGGAGGTCAGTTTGAAGAAATAAATTCAAGGCCTTTTTTCGGGAGTCGGGCTATAGTGGCTCCGGAGCATGTCTGGTCAGAGAAATTAAATTTGATCTTACGGATGCTGCGCCTACTACCTTCTTAGCCGGTCTTCAATCCACCCTACTGAGCCCGGTCTTCCTAAAGAAATGCGCACAGACGCTCGTCTCCATCCGCAAACATGGCATTGACCAAACTTACAAAAGGGTTGCGATTGTCGGAGACAGGTAGCTGTATCTGTCGACAAAGATAACACAATCGTCATCCTGGACAAGACAAACTAGTTTTTTAAGTGCTGGACACGTAGACATCTTACTCATCCTAAGCTTACGGATGCTGGGCTTACTTTTTCAATCTACCCTACTGAGGGCGGTCTTCCAAAGGACGTTGTAGCCGGAAATGGAACAAAACCTATGAGTGCCAATCTTGGTTAATGAGTCTTAGTAGTCTTCAATTCGCACATGTATGCGGCCTCCCATAGACTCACAAGTCGAGCGCTCCATTGAGGATTAGTGCAACTAATCGAATCAACCAACTACATCACCAACTGGTTGCGTCGGCATCCATAATACCCCGCTGATGGGTTTGACAGTTCGTCTGATGATGTTTGTCGAGTGGTCCACAGGACAAACTCATGGACAGCGACTTGCGCAGCATCTGCCGCACACTCTCTCCTCCTTCATCCACCTGGCCCAGTATCAAAACGAGGGCAAGGAAGTCGAGGAGACGAGATCGCATGGAAGGAGGGAAAAGACTAAACCGTCCAACTACGCGTGCCACACATAAGCCTGGTTCGCGCACACAACACGTCAGGAGTACACAAAAAAGCACAAAGAGGCGGTTCGGATTCTAACCGAATAAAAGTGCCATGGAGCCCACGGAGCCTGGATCTCCGTCCTGAGGGGAGAACCAAGGTCCCCCGTCGTTGGGGCCTTCCAAGTCACAGCTTTTAGCGCATGGTGATACTTCGCTGGGGCCTACATCACCGCGCATAACCAAAACAGTCATTCTGTTACAGAATCGTTGAGCCCTCAATCTCCAAATCCGGAGGTTGTGTAATTTACTCAGGTACTGTTCCATACAGATTAGAATTAGGACGGCACTTAAGACGCCTTGCTTACTGAAAACACACCTTAGGACATAGATACGCTGTTTGTGGGTTGCCGCGGATGGTGTATTGAAACCTAGACAAACATGGATATGTGTAAATTTTAAAGTCTTAGAACTTGAATATTCTCTTCTTTCAAATCAGGATTTCAAGAAGTAGGTTCCAACCAAGAGAGTATAATAATTCAACTTTTCGTCAATTATTTTGATTCGAAAACTTGAATAAAATGGTAATTTAAGGAGCTCATGTTGTCTAAACGGTTTTGATTCTCCTGAGATCGAAAAGGGTGAGAGAAATGAGTGCCGGTCGAAAAAAAGTGGCCGCAATGATTTACGAGGTGACATAAAAAGGCCTTTGTGCTTATGTTAGGAGGACAATACACTTTGTTGTTGAGTTCGGTGGATATAAAATGTCTAACTTTTAAGAGATCGTTTCGAAAGGAATGAGTCACGTAACGGGCGAAGTTTAGAGCCATCGAGAGCTATTACTAACGAGAGACAGAACGGCCATCTTTGATTTTAAAGTCGACAATTAGGCCAACCCAACCCAAATAGAAAGGATCGATAAGTGAAACCGCCCAGGTAACAGCCAGCTATCCATCTGATTTGAACATTGTGATAGAAAATGCTCGCAATCAGAATGCAGGAGCAAGTATAACTAATAAACTATTACATTTTTCTCCAAGAATGCTGAAGCAAATTTTTGCCAGCGACTAAAAAGTTACCCACTAGGGGTTTCTTTTCAATAGGAATGTCTAAAAAGTACGCATGCCATCGTGTAAGAATTGACTTGTGAGTATTTTTGCTTTCGAGTAACATTTTAAAATCCATGCAAATTAATATTTTTACGCGAAAACACACTGGGGAGTCTAGTTGGACAATTTTACGGGCCTATCGCAGATTAACAGTGATCAGGTCTGAAGCCCTGGGGGTACTTACAGCAAGCGCGGGGTTGGCGGTGAGCATCGATGTCTGCGGTGGAAGCGGCATTTGATTCTTCAAGCTCGGTGGAGGTACGGCTGCCGCAGGAGGATCCGAAGAAACCGCAAGTTGCTGCGTCTCCTGTACGCCAACATCCCTCTGTAATATAAAATGAGGAGAGTCTGAAGGTGACGAAAATCTGGGGCCAAAATGACAGGACTGCGTCAGGTACAGCAAGATGCGCGTGTTCGTACAAGGTGCAGGTTGCCAATAAATCCGAGGGCAGACTGCAATTGACAGTCAGCCGTAAGCTACCAGTTAGGGGTTAAGAACCCGCGGGTGAGTTTGGAAGGACCAACAAGAACTCAACAGGTGAACATGAACAAGACAAAATCTGCAGGAATGACAAACCCTTTGGGGATTTAGCAGCACAGCCTAACTGGGCGTCCTACACGCGCCTAGTCTGCGCGTACAACAGGCCGGAATTTAACACAAAACACAAAGGCGGCGACTCGGGTTCCAACTGAGTGGGAGAGTCATAGCGGCAACAGTAGGAAGGAGCCATTGCAGCTAGACTCTTCATTGTGGGAGGAGGAGGACCGGCTTATCTCGCCAGTTGGCAGCCTTCCAAGCCACGACTGGAGCCCACATCATCGTACACAATCCAGATACTCACTCCGTCGTAACATGTTTTAGCCCCCTTCCCCTCAACTCCGGAGGCTGTATAATTCACCTAGGGGTTCTGTTCCACACAGATTAGAACTAGAACAACACCTAAGAATGCAATTCCCAA